GTATTCGGTGCTTTGGGAAATAAAATGAAGTTTTGAGCTGGTTATGCTGGTGCAGATGGTTATAAGTGCTTGACTCGAGGCATCCAGAGCAGTGCTATGGGGGACACAAGCAGACAAGCTCTGAACGCAGGGTCCCAGGCCCCTGAGACAAGATGGTGAAGATCTGAACTCTCCCCAAAGCACATTCTTGCTGCCTGTAACACCATTGTGCATAATGTAAAAGACGGGGTCTTGCGTTCAATGGTTTTGAAAATCAGAGAGATCCACTGCTGCCGTGGGAAGAGGATGGTCTAGAGGGTCCCAAGCTCTCAATCCTCATGATCCAGGAGTGTCCTCCCTCCGGCTGCGTGTACGGTGTCTGTGCGCGGGTGTCTGTTAGGTGAAGTTGCCGCTCTCCCTTGCTGCACTGAGCAGGCAGCTTGGGCAGTAACCACTATTCTTGCCTGTATTTCTGCCTACAGTCTTGCAATGCTTGCCTACACAGAGTGCTGCTTTTCCAGCAGAAGTAATGTGACCACAAAATCAGCTGACTGGCAATGCAATTATAGGTTAATGTAAGGTTTTCAACCATTAAATGCCTGTAGTATTCTTCCTATTTTGATAGCCTTCTTTACAACGAGTGTAATTGTGTAAATTGATCTAGATTTAAAAGAAAAGAAGTCCCTGGAGTTCACTCTCTCTTTTTAATTTTTTTTGGTCACTTCTTTGCTTCATACTCCTATCCCAAAGATGCAATCCTTCCCTAAAACCCGCTCGAGTTATGTACAGTAAGAGAAAACAATCCAGAGCATAACCCTTTGGCTTTCTTCCCCACAGATCTGATGGCACACCAGCCTTGCTGTGGCTCTCAGGAATAGAAAACAGGTCGGGTATTTCCATCTGCCCTCTTTTGAATTGTATCAATTCTGATTATGAGCCAGAAAGAAGAAGAAATGGAGGACAGCTCCCCGCCACTCTGTGTCACCTGCGGCCAAGCGCATTTACCGGAAGAAAACCACTTGTACATCTACACTGAAGAAGTAGATGATGATCTGATATGTCACATTTGCCTGCAACCTCTGCTTCAGCCGATAGACACGCTCTGTGGTCACACCTTCTGCACAGCCTGCCTTACGAACTTCCTCGTGGAAAAGGACTTCTGCCCCATGGACCGCAAGCTTGTAATTCTCCAGACGTGCAGGAAGTCCAGCATACTTGTGAACAACCTCCTGGACAAGCTAATGGTTAGCTGCCCTTTCACAGAACACTGCTCAGAGGTCATGCAACGCGGTCACCTCGAACAGCATTTCCAAACCCAGTAAGTCGTTGTTGATAAACCCTTTTTTCACTCTTTTGCTTAAGGAGAGGAACAAATATCTTCAATTAGTGCTGATTGAAATAGACGATTAATATAGAGAAAGATTTGCAGCTTTCAGTCCCAACGAATGCCTGCAGTATCATGAATTTAGAGCTGAATTGAGTCCATTTATTTGACAATATCTCTTTTTTTAGAATCACATGTGTTCAAGGTACTTCATGCTACCGTTAGCAGTTCTGGGTGGGTAACTTGTGGTTAGCTGCATAATGGAAGTGTGTATTTAGTCATCTGAAGAGATCTGTGAGTTATGGGAAGCTGAGCTATCATAAATATTTTAGTAGTACATTAAGGGTTTTATAATTGCCCTTTCTTCAATCCTTTTTTGAATCGCAAATGACCTATATGAGAAGTAGAGCAGAAAATATTCCCGTTTGGTATTGGTCTTTGGAGCTGAGCATTCCTTTCTTCCAGGTGAGCACTTACCCATGCACCGCAACGTGGGGCTCGCAGAGCCCCGGCTTCTCTGGCATGGTGTGGAAGAGCTCCCTGACTGGACTCCCCCTCCAGGCTCACCTCTCCTGGTGGCCAGGACACCCTCTCTCTTGCCTCTGGGAGGGACGTCTCCAGGGAGCAGTTTGGTTCCTCTGCAAGGAGAGAACTGGTGATGGTTGACCCTCTGTTTTGCAGGGCAAAAGCATGTGTTGCTGCTTTTGTCTTGCATCTTCTGTCTTTTGAAGAAGATGCATTCAGGGCTGTGATTTCTGACAACAGACAAATGCTTTGGCATAGTCCAGGTAACAGCACCTCGGATTTGAGGAGATGTGGGGTCTAAGAGGTGCCCTTTTTTGTGGCCTGTATCTGTTGTCCAGTGAAATTACTTCCCCTGTGGTTTGCAGGTGTGTCCTTCTGCTTGTGTGTTGCTGGGTGAGACAAAGCACGGGTGTGTGGTCACATGGCTGCGGGCTTCTGGGTCTTGAAGCCTGTAATTGGAAATGGCCTGTCATTCAAACAGGTCCCCATTTGAACTGGAGATGTCATTTTCTAAAGCACCTGGATTATACTGAGGAATTTATTCACTGAAGATATTCGGTGGTTTAACAAACCAAAAAATACGAGTGTTTTGCATTACTAAAACTGAAAAAAACCTTTAGCAATAAACCCCCTCCACATGCTAGGGGCTTGGTGTTTGTGGATTTGGGTGTCCTTGGCCCACACAGTTCTGGACCTGGCTGCCCCTGTTGAGGGTGCTGCTGTCTCATGGCATAAGAGGCGGTGGCAGCAGCCTCCAGCCCAGGCCAGGGGTGTGCTGCAAGGTTGGCTTTCTGCTGCTATGAGATAAAATTGGCAAAGTTACTTACAATTTTCTGCCTTTGGTGAGTACTTCTCTGACGTGCCTCAAATACAGATTTCAATAGTAATGCAGGTAAAGGGACTGACAGTCTGCTGTGAGCTGCTGTCACTGAGATTATGTTTCTCTACACATTCCAACCATAAAATCTTGATCCCCTACTGCAAATACCCTTTCCTCTTGCTATACCTATAGCTGACTTGATTGTATTTTAGATCCTCCTTTTTATCTTCATTTTTTTTGAGATGATGGAGCTGTGGCCATAAAACTAGCAGGAAAAAACCCATCACACAATAAAAAAGTAAATTGGAATTTTGGGTTTTTTACACAAAAGACACACAGCTAGCATGATTCCTGATTTCTAGTGTCGACTCTTCTACATGGATATGTGCAAGTCACTCCAGTGTCTTGGTGGTAGTAAAGAAACGCTTCACGCACATGCCTGGCAGAATTGCAGTGTTATAAACCATCATTTGATCCTGTGAAAGCCTGGCAAGTTTTATTCCAGTGCTTATTACTGAATGTCCGTGGCCTGGATTTCTCCCTCAGGATCTTCAAGATCCTCTGCCTCTGACTCACTTGGCCTGAGCCCAACCAGGGGTAGGAGGAATTGGCTTAGTACCATGTTCCCACAGCCTCTTGCCGTCCCTCCTCCCCTGTGCCAGGCTCCCCACACCGAGTCCTGGCTTTGCAAACCCAGGGAGCAGGGGACTGGAGAGACAGAGCAGCAGTCCCCCTTCCCATCAAACTCTAAAGCCTCTAATAAGGTACTGCAGTATGAGGCAGTGCTCCGTAGGCTGGACGGCTTCTTCTTTGCCCCTCATGATATGGATTTTCCTTCCTCAGGATGGTTTCGAGGGCTAAGTTATCTTAAGGCCAAAGGGAAGAGGCAGGGGAGTGGGAAATCATGGGGAACCTTTGCTGCTGGGGGTTTCAGCTTCCCAGGGGGTGGGTGGTGCAGCCTCACTGGCATGCCCACCCAAGGGAAGAATTAGGAAGGAACTTTCTGGGTGACCTGTAAGGGGGACTTCTGCAACCTCGCATTTGCAGAGACTGTGCAGTACCTTTATGTTTTTTCAAGCACAGCATTATTAATTATCACCAGAGGTATCTTAATGCCTCTGCCTATCTTGGTTCTCAGAAATCCAGAAACCTCCCTCACTGTCCCACCTCCAACTCACGGCAGGGCGGGAGAGGAGAAGGGCACTGTGCTCTTCAGGCACCGGCTCCGGCATGCCCAGGCACAGAGCAGAGCGAGCTGACGCTGTTCTCTTTAACTCCAGTGAATCAGTAGAGGGGAGAGAAAGTGTGCAACTTTGCTAATAAAAAAAAATATAAAATAATAATAATCATAAACAATCCGGTGCCTGCGGCGAGAACAGCTCAGAGCCCATCTGAAATCTCGACTGAACGTGATCTGTGTTCTCAGTGAATAAATTAAAGTAGGCTCTGCTGGAGTCGCCAGGGCAGTCAGCAGTCCTCGCGTTTCTTGCATGATTCAGGCTTGGACCAATCCTGGTTGTCAGAGAGAAAATGAAAGCTTGCCCTGATCAGAGACGAGGTCACTGGTGGGACAAGGTGAGTTTGCTGTTTTATGCTTTGTAATTGATGAGAGAACTTTTTTTTTTTTTTAAAAACGCCAGTTACCACGGAGTAGTCCGTTAAAAGCATCCTTATTTTAAATGTTTGCTCTTGCATCCTTCCGAAAAAAACCCAAACACCAAACTGAGAAGAGACACGTCCTTGGATTATTACATGATTTATGTTTGCACAAAACCATCTGACTGGATTTGCGAAATTCAGACCGAGATGCAAACAGCCAGCAGTTGGCTGTGATCTTTTGCGGCGTTTTACTTTAAAAAGGTGTGGTCTTCTGATCTCGCCTGCTTCAAAACTCCACGGGGGGCATTTTTTTCCCCCCTTGTCAGACAGCTACACCCTTCTGTGATGCGGTTTAGCTCGTAACCCATCTGCTTGTGGGCAGTGATGTAAATGTACCAGCTGCCTCTGAAGAACCACTCTGAATCCTGCAGGAGGCAGGTCTCTTCCCCGAGCATCGCTCTCCTCTGCAGCATAAGTCACTGTCTCGCCAACCACGCTGTGCTGTCCCTAAACCCTCACATCTACCCATCCGAGAGTCAGATCGAGTAATCCTCTTACAGGTCAATGATTTTCGCAGTGTAGCTTCATTTAAGGGATTTGAGCTCGATTCGTAATGTGCTACCATTGCGTTCAAATGGAAAGGCTGGCTTAGAAGGGGCTTGGCTGGCACAAAAGCTTCATGTTGTGTGTCCCACCAGCACAGAGACGGTGGGAAGGAGGAAACCTAGCAGCAGTGCCAGCCCTGCACTGAAAATGAAGGCTCTCCTGTTACTGGTCCTGCCTTGGCTAAGTCCTGCAAACTACATAGACAATGTGGGCAACCTGCACTTCTTGTACTCCGAGCTGTGAGTACGCACAGTCGCGTCAGTGTCGTGCTCTCTGTCTGTCTGTCTCACCCGAGCGGCGGGAAGGGGCTCACCACGAGCGTTTTTTGGGGGGGGTCTGTCTGTCTGCCTGTGTGCCTGTACCTATGTGTATGTGTGAAGAAAACCCCGCAATGTCTTGCCAACAGCTTCCAACCGTGCTGCGAACTAGCTGCTTCCCATCCAGAGAGCTAATAATAGCAGTACGTCCCCATTGCTTTTTGCTTGTGAAGCAGCGGAGACATGCCGAGGGAAGCTGCCTTTTTCCTTATCAACTTGCTTTTCTCTGACGATGCTTTTGGTCGTTGTCAGGTTTGGGGTTTTTTATTCCATTTCTGAATCTGTGTCTTCACCCTCCATAAATAGCTTTGCAGGGGAGCTGGGTGTAGAGGAGGGCAGCAGGACAGACACCCCCGGTAGAGCGCTCTCTGTGTGTACATGCATAATGTTCTGTGTGTAAAGCTGCATGCCTGTAGCAAAACGCTGAGAAGACTTTCACCAGAAATAATTCACTCGAGACAGGAAAGAAATTTCCCATATTTCTGTTTTTGCCCACAGCGGAATGTTATCTTCTCTATAATGCAAATCTAAATGTAGCAATCCATGCATATATCTTCATGTTTAAAAAAAAACAAACACCTCAAACAACCCCATAGCTGATCTTTCCAACCCACAAAACAAATATTCTATGGTATCTATAAATGATACTAGTTTAATTTGTGCTTGAATGTTATTGTACTAGTTAATAGGGCTTTTATGAATAGAAATAGATCTTTGTTCCAGTACGTTTTAATTAATTATGTTTTGTTTGTGTTTTGACAAATTATAAATTCCACAAGATGTTCCTTGCGATAATGAATGAAATGGCTAAATCTGCTCAAAAAAGAAAGATGTCTGTATTGTGCCTACAGTGGGAATGTTTTGGTAACAGTTGTGATTAGTACCAATGAGACTAATTTCCGAATGATTTCATCTCTGCTGTCAGACAAAAATAGCAGTTTTGCAGAAACACAAAGTGCCCTTTTGAAATTCTTGTGTGATATGCATGGCAACTATAAATAATTTAGTCACGCTGCGTACAACTGCTGAGGATTTCTGTATGCCATAGGTGTTTTTAAACACTTAACAAATCTGAGGTTGAGGGTTGCAGCTATGCCCTCATTTTAATTTTATTGGCGTTTTGCTTAAGACATTAATTAAAAAAAAAACAACAACCAAACAAAAAACAGTCGAACCAAGCGGGCTACAGGAGCAGTCAAGCTCAAAACAGCAGATGAACACTTATAATGGAAACAATGGCATCTGGGACATCTAGTTTCCAGGAAAACAAACTGATGAGATTAATCAGAGCACAGGCGCAGACGCAGCCTACTTGCTTATCTTGGGGAATTCAGGTTCACTGATTCTCCCAGGGTAAAGGGCTACGACGTTCAGTAGCTATTCCTCTCTTATTTATTCAGCCTTCTAACCCACAGAGACGTTGGTCTCACTGGATGTCGGCAGTCGTTCTTAAGGGAGTGGGTGTGGGCTGGGGCTTGGACGTGCATTTTTGGTTGTCAGCAATGGGAGGTCCCCTCCCCGGTGCCCAGCCCTGGAAGCTACCTAGCACCAGGAGCCGGTGTTCAGGACCTCGCACACCGCTCTGTCTCTGGCCAGGGCAGTGGAAAGCAGGATTTGCTGGGGCTGACATCATCCAAAAGGACACCAGGCAGTTTGAGCTCGTTTCAGGAATTTCTCCTCCTCCTCCTCCACATGTATTCAGTGCCTCTGGCTGCTGCTGGATGCCACACAAGACACTGACGTATTAATCTGTGGGATAGTTTCAAGGTCTTCTCTAACAGCAGCAGTTGAAGGAGGAAGAGGAATACTGTTTTCAGTCCTGTTTAATCAGTTTATATGACTGTTATGACCTACAGGTTGCTACTGTGGTTGCTCAGGCACTTGCATGCAGGAGATTTGTCATGCAGAGTTTTGTGAGTGGGACAGCATGGGCACCAGTGTTCAGGAAAGCCTGGCATCCGGGGCCACAGGTTTGCTGCCCCAACCCTTTTGTGCCCCAAAGCCCACAGAGGCAGCTTCAAAAATTCTTCCCCCCAAGCAACTGAAAAGCCATTGCTGTGTGTAGCATACCTGATGGCTTGGCCCGTGGCTTGAAATAAGACTGTAGTAAGTGGAAAAACTTTTTTTTTTTCATTATTACACTGGCCACTACAAACAGTGGCCTCAGTTAGGACTCATTATTTTGTTGGCTGGCAGCCACCAGAGATACCAGCTGAGGAGGAGGAGTGGGCCAGCAGGGGTGCAAGTGGCAAGGGAAGAGCTGCAGGAGTGTGGGGGGATGTGGTTACCATCACTGGTACTGGCTCATGGGGAAGAATAAGGGTGCTGGGATTCGCACTGTCCCGCTCGCACAGCCCACCTCTTCCCTTCTACCCGATTCAAACAAAGCTAGGGTATTTGTGTTGCATGGCAGGGGTTTGCTTTAGTTCGAGGGCATTTTGTTTTCATCAGCACGGAATGGGCTGCTTGGGGAATAGGGATTACAGTATAGCCCAAAGCCCCTCTGGAGATGAAAGCTCTGGAATCCATCTAAGAAATAAAGAGATTTTAGGAGAGTTGGAGAGGAGAAATGAAGCTGGGGAAAGGCTGCGTCAGACCTTTGCGCTTCAGCTGGGTGCCACGCGGGTAGGAAAGAGAGGTGTGTGGATGCCTTGCAGTTGCACTTGCTGGTACAGGTGTTGGGTGCTGCTAATTTTAGTTTTGTATTAGCAGTCTGCTAATTACAGGTATTCCCAGCAAGCAAATACGTATCTCCTGACACTGTCGCCTGCCCTAAAACCACTTCCCTGGCTGTTGCCCGTTGTCCCTCCCTTGCCCCCCAGCAAAGATCTCAGCACAGATGCTCTTCTTGTCCTCGCTCTTAGCCAAACCATAAAGAGCAGCCCATGGTAAGCTGGGGTGCTCCCTCCTGAGGGGAAGCCCATGGAAACACCTTGCAGAAGGACACGACAAATCTGTGAGGTGTCCCTCAAGGAATCTCTGGGAAGGAGTGGGATGTAGCCACAACAGCCCAATGGCTCACAGCATCGTAAGGGTCTGCATGGGGCTTAAGGAGACCCCAGTCCAGCGTCCATGCCTTCTCCTTTATATGCCTGTAAGTTGCTTCAACAGGCATCTGCTCGCTTTCTTTCTTATCTAAAATATCTTCAGAAAGGAAATACTTGCCCAAGCATTCTTTTGAGTCGGGGTATGTTATTCCCCTGGGTGTGTGGATGGAGAGGCAGCCTGTGGCCACTGGAGGATGCTCTGCCAGGGGTGAAGAGCCAGCGGCACCACTCACACCGAGGGATGCTGACCTCCATCGCTATCCCTCTCACTTCAAAGCAGGACCTGTGCAGCGGGGTGTTTCTCAGTAGAAGGGCTTTCTGCACTTTGGCATCAATGGGTCACTTACTTAGAAATAAAATTATGAGAGGAAGGAGGATGCGAGACTAGGTGGTGAATAACCTCACCTTGTCCCACTGAGGACCTCAGTCACATGGAAAGCGTGGGGTGCTTTCCAACCTAATCCCCCTTCCGCACGTGGCCGTGCTGACCGAGCCAGCACCCGGGAGGGCGCCGGGCATCGCATGTGCTCAGCACAGGTTGAGCGCGGGGGACCACATGGCAGCTGTGCTTGCTGGCACTGCATCCCTCCAAGGACTAAACAGCTCCTGGCCTCAGTCACTGCTGGCACTCCACCAGCTAGATCCACCCCGATAATTTGAATCAAGCCATTTTAAAAAAAAAAATCTATTGTTTGCTAGAGTGAAATGCACAACCTGCTGCCACATGCAAAAAATTACTTCTTGTTTCCTTACCTCCCTTGGGTTTTCTGTGAAACAGTCAAAGGGATCTCACCAAATTAACTGGATCAAGTTTCCCCATATAACTTTTATATGATAACTACTCTCTTAAATTTCAAAATAACACTTTTGGCTGGAATAGCCAGTAAAATTTTGTTTCTCTGTTCATTCAATATGAAAAGAAGAGATGCAAGCGCCAGCTGTCTCCCAGTGTCCTTGGGCAAGTCTTTTTTACGGCAAGCACAATTTAGGTCAAGATATTAGGTGCACCCTCCCGGCCCCCTACCAGCACTGAGCTTAACCGTGCGGCCAACTTCTTTCATTTCTCTTCAATTTGGGGGGGGGAAACTTGTCTCTGGTTTCAAGTCTGTCCTTGTGAAGTTAGCTCCACGGAGGCTGGGAGCGCAGGGCACACATCATTCGTGACAAAATTGATAAGCCCGGAGCGCCTTTGGGGCTCGTGTGTTAGTCCGCTGCAAAAGCCACGTGTTGGCCTCCTTACTCTGTGCAAAGCTGCGTGTATGGAAATCTGTGTCGGAGCTAAGCTGTGAGGTTAATTAAAGCTGAAAGTGTTGGAAAGCAAGGTTTGAATTGGAAAGATTCTTGAATGAAAATATAAAGGAAGTGTTTAGAATATCTGCATTAAATAGCTAGGACAAAGCACACTTGGATAAAATGCCAAGGGTCTTTTCCAGTGTACTGGAATTGGATGTATCTCAGGGAAAGCAGAACTACGGTGACTTAAAGCAGAAAGGCGTGGGTGCCCATTAGCTTCACTCCTATGCTACAGCCTCACAAGGGAGCCAGGATGGAAACATGGCAAACTCTGACATCTTGCGTGGAAGCAAGAAAACCAGTCTCTTTGGTTCCTGACTCTCCCTGTCTCCGATGTCCCTTTGGGAAAGCTTCTGATCTGGATGTCATCTTACATTGAGTACGAGCAGGTACGACGGCACAGGTGAGCAGCAGGCGCTGAGCACTCTCAGGCTCCATTTCTGTTTCTCCCAAGCACTCTGCAAGAGCAGCAGATCCTCCCAGGAGCTGTTTTTCCCTCAGGCTTCTGGGATCTCTCCCAAAATCCCCAGCAACAGCTACCGTCCCCCTCCCTGCCTTGCATCCCACCCCACTCCACCAGCT